AATATCGCAGCAAAACTACAAAAAACCAGTCCCACCGTTTCAGCCAAACCAGAATTACAACCAAAATAACAAAATTAAAAAGAAACTGCAGGGGAAACCAAAGCCAAATGCAAGCTTCAGACATAACCATTAACCCACACCCGATTTTGCCAAAGCATCCGCTTCAATATTAATGTACCTCGGAATGTGCCGAACCACAAGCCAACCCATGGCAACAAAATCAGCAATTTCTAGCACTTCGTTTCTTAAACTGCAGGGGGCCTTAGTAGGATCTACAAACCAGCTTACTACTCTCAGCCATATTCTATGTATACAGTGCCAACTGTCTATAATGAACCATCATGTAACCTGCATTGTCATCAAATTTTATGATGCTAAACTATTTATTTATGCAAACAGAGATAATGAATCAGAAAAAGTCACCAAATTATTGCTGTACATTAGCCTTATCTTTCATCGCTTCGATCTTAGATTATGTCCCCAAGACTTCCATATGGAGCATCAAATCAATACATAGAACTTCAGATTGCAGTGATCTAAGCTGAATCACTTTATCTACTTACAGATATTCAACATAATCTTCTATGTTATTTTCAGGCTCAGGGATCGTCTAGTTAAAATTATTACTGATTACAGAACTGAAACATCCCTTAGACATGGGTGCAATGATATACTCAAGGTACTACTAATCCTCTTAGCTTTTGTTATAGTACTTGAAATTCCTATTTGAGGGACCTGACATTTGGGCACATTTGAAATATGCAGGCTGATTGTGTTAATCTGTTGGTTAAATACTACAATGAAGCGAAAAGAGCAGTTTGCTTGAGTAACGAAGATGATGCTCGACCCAAGAGGGATGCAAGTAGAGCTTCTCAAACTATATCACCTAGCGTGAGAAACATGGATCTCAAGTCCAAACTAGGGAGGTGGAAGATGTTGCATGTGTTTTGATCCTTTCTCTATACAAAATGTATCAGTGGTCGTGTTCTTTTGCTGTCATGCTTATCACACAACTTGCTTGATGGACTCCACCGAAACTAATACTAGCGGAAAAAAGGAGACTGGAGCCACCTCTGAAGAGCTATACGAGTACGAGGAGGAGGATGCTGACGACAATGGTAGCGAGGCCGGTGATCCTCAGATGCGATGTATTCTATGTACTACAGCTGCGAATTAAGTTTGTTTCACATGCCTTTATGCGAATGTGTGGTGTGTGGGTGTGTGTGCAGTTTGCTCGCAAAAATTTTCAGGTCGTCGTTTAGGTTTTGCCCATCTTGTGCTTGCGCATATTGACGGTCATGATTCTTTCTTTCTTTCTCGTCTCATTATTCGCTTGAATGTTGTTGTGCCTCAATTAATGGCAACTTATATATTATACATCCTCATGTAATTATTGGAAAGTGTAATTAATCCTTTCCGGCGGTTGATTTATGTAGTATATCTTGCAGTCCAAACAAAGTTAATGAAATAATATGCTACGATTGTAGCGAGAGCTGAACCAGAACCTTTTTTTCCTGCATTGCGGAAGTAAATGAAAATGTGTATTTTTGGTACGAGTTAGATCAAAACGTAGTGCAAGATTTTTTTATTATTTTGGTTGACTTTTGTTAATTTATATAAATAAAATAAATATGAAATATGGGCACATTGAAATGAGAAAATAATACCAATTTTCAAACAAGGTGAAAGTTCCAAATTTCTAGTTGATCGACAATTGATATGCCAAAGCCGGCAAAAGAATATTTACTTGAAAAAAATCCCAAAGAGCAATTTGTCTGAAACTGTTTACTGTTGTCTGTTGATGCCGGCCGGTGAATCTCATGTTGCATGATAAAGAGGGTAATTAATCAAAGTAACAGTCAAAATAAACCTTCCTCCGAGGCCTTTCATTTCTGTGCTGAAGTTCAATAGTTAATGGAGTCGCAAATACTGTTCTTCCTGTTATCAAAAGTGCTTCTTCTGCTCCCAACACTATGCTTATCAGCGGCATATCCTTGGACGACAACGAGCTACGGCACGGTCGAAAAAACCATGATGACCAAGGAAGACAGGAGCCTTCCAACAGATTTTTCTTCATATTACTACGAACAAACGTTAGATCATTTCAGTTACAAATACGAGGCTACCTTACGTTCCCACAGAAATACATTGTGAATTTCAAGTATTGGGGTGGGGCTAATACGAGTTCTCCCATCTTCGTTTACCCGGGTGATGAGGCGGGCAGTATCGAAGGAATTGCCATCGGTGCTGGATTCATGATTCATCTTGCTTCTCGCTTTAAAAGTCTTCTTCTATTCATAGAGGTATGTCATTATTTGCTTGGTAAGGTTCTTGTGCAACAAAGGTTGATCAAAGGATTGAAATACGTATTCTGAAAAGTAGAGGGACTAAGAATAATCAAATTATAACAGAAACATTTGTACAAGGATATTCTATACAATTTAGTCCTCTAAATTTATCTAGTACATATTGGGAAATAAGTTTGATGATGTGATCGGTCATGTGTAAAAGAAGAATTGAGCATAATTTTCACCGGCTTAGAGTAAAATGGCCGCTGCTAATACATTAATGGATCACAGCATCGTTATTATGGAGATTCAATGCCATTCGGATATAAAAACATAGCAGGCCAAAATGCCTCAACACTGGGATACTTAAGCTCGACACAAGCTTTAGCAGATTATGCACAGTTGATCATTGACCTCAAGCGAAATCTATCAGCTGAAAATTGCCCCGTTATTGCCATTGGAGGATCTTACGGTGGAAGTACGGTCATACTTTACTTGTTCTCTCTCAATAATATCTATATGTTCAGAAACTGATTCTACATTTTCATTATAACTCAGTGCTGGCATCTTGGTTTCGCCTTAAATATCCCCATATCACCCTTGGTGCATTAGCCTCATCTGCTCCAATTCTCTACTTTGACGATCTCACTCCTCAAAACGCCTATCATGTGATCGTTACCAAGGATTTCAGAGTTAAAAGACATTTTCATATGAACCCTTTTATGTTTTCTGTTACTTGCATTATCTGTGTGTTCTTGATTCTTGTTTTTGTTACTTGTGCAGGAAACTAGCGAGAGTTGTTATAGCACTATAAGGCAATCTTGGTTTGAAATCGACCGTGTTGCAGAGAAGCCGAATGGACTTATGAATCTCAGCAGCATCTTCAATTCTTGCATGTAAGTTTCATGGGAGTTTTTTTTTTAATCTTGGTTCCAATGAAATTCTCTTGTTAGTCCTAGGTAATTAATCCTTTTTTTTCTCTGCTCAAATTTGAAGGCCTTTGTATTCCTCTGAGCAGCTGAAGTGGTTTTTAGGCTTTGTCTATGTATATTCAGCTCAGAATGACAACGGCTCATCGGTCCGACATATATGCGACGCAATTGATGGAGCGCCACAAGGAAGTGATATTCTGGGAAAAGTTGCTAGAGGGATCAATGCAAGCTTCTTCGGGGGACACTCATGCAATGATATATTTGAAATCAAACCAAACAATGGCAGTGCATGGTTTTGGCAGGTAATTCAAATGTTCCACATCACCCCAGTATCATTATCAGGCCTTGATTGATTCCTCTTATATGTTTCTGCAAATTGTCATCTCAGACTTGTACTGAAATGGTAATGCCAATTGGTCATGGTGAAAACGATACAATGTTCCAAGCATCACCTTTTGATATGGAAGAGTATACCAGAACCTGCCTCGACCTCTTTGCCGTGTCGCCGAGGCCTCATTGGATCACAACTGAATTCGGTGGCCATGTAAGCTGGTTTAACTTCAAATTTTCCCGACAGTAAACTCAAGCAACAATGTTTCAATGAAAAAACATTGCAGGACATAAAATCTGTACTTGGAAAATTTGCAAGCAACATCATCTTCTCCAATGGACTACGTGACCCGTGGAGTGCTGGAGGGTGAAGAACTAACACTCTTTAAATGAACCCTTCTTTATCATGCTTTATTTTACATTTTGCTGAACCATGTTGTTTCAGAGTTTTGTACAACATATCAGATACCATTGTTGCAGTATATACAAACGAAGGTTCCCATTGCATGGATATAAACACTCCGAGCACTAATGATCCCAACTGGCTGGTCGAGCAACGAGACAACGAGATGAACATCATTGGAGGCTGGATTGAACAACATAATGCAGAACTGGCCAGAAAATTGGGTTCTAAGGACTAGCAAAACTGAAAATTTGTGCCAAAAGGACAACACAACAATTGCTTGTGTATACATATCAAAATCAACGAGAGATCCGTTGATTGGCCAAATGTTCAATCATGTTTGCGTTGTTACACTTCATGTAAGCTCGAATCTTAATATTTATCTTGGAAAGTTATCTCTCCACTCAATAAAAAATTCAATGAAACCAAACAAGACTCCTGTCTCAAGTAACTTTTTAACTATCTATCGAAAATGTTTCACATTTTACAAATGGAATGATCATAGATTGTGAAAGGACAACTATATAGGAAGAACAAAAAGTTTTGTGTCCCAACATTCAAGTCCTTTGTACTTAAATCTCAGGGAAGATACTTGATATCTATCGAGCGTGCTTTCGAAAGAGACAAAGAACATAAAAATACGAGAGAAAATGATCTTATTTGTCCTAAGATGGTGTATCCAAATGCAGTGTTCATGCACCATTAGATTAATAAAACAATTATGCATAAAGTCCATTAATAAACAGAGATTGAGTTAAAACCTAAAACATTTGACATTTTTAAATTTTCAAAATTAAAGTTTGGAATCGATTTCGATTAATATATTTTGTGATTGGAGAAGAAAATGGTATCAATTAAGATCCCAGAAATAATCCCTAAATTTAAGTTAAATTTTGATATATATGAATAAACTGATTTAGAAAATAAAATCTTTTGTATAAATGATATGAAAAAAGTATTGATGTGGATTTTTTAATTGATTGGGATACTTAAATATTACTATATATATATTTGGAGCAATAGTTGTCTTTGGACCCTAGCACAGGCTAACAGATCATATTACTGTTTTACAGATACATTACGAGCCATGAAATATTCTCCTGAATTTTCAGTCCAATGGCTTCAATTCATGGTTATGGTACTCTTGATTTCGTTCACCGGCACCGTATCCGGCTGGTTCAACATTCCGAGGCTTAGTCCGACGAGAGGAACGATCATCGAAAACCCTGACCTTCAATCATTTGCACCCGTTTCAGATGATCTCCGAACATTTTATTACCCTCAGACACTTGATCACTTCAACTACCAGCCTCAAAGCTACGCCACTTTTCAACAAAGATACGTGATGAATTTCAAGCATTGGGGCGGAGCAAATGGCAGCGCACCGATTCTAGCCTATCTCGGAGCAGAGGCCCTGATCGACAACGATCTTGCCATAATCGGTTTCCTCAATGATAATGCAATCCACTTCAATGCTACCCTCGTTTACATTGAGGTAAATAACAGGAAATTATTCCAACTATATCAGTTAAGATTCTAATAGAAATATTTTTCATCATCGGTACTATGGAAAATCAATACCATTTGGATCAAGTGAAGAAGCCTTTAAAAATGCAAGCACTATGGGGTATTTCACCTCTGCACAAGCTATTGAAGACTATGCAGAAATCATCATGCACATCAAGAAGAAACTCCGTGCTTTCTATTCTCCGGTTATTGTCATCGGAGGATCATACGGCAGAAGTAAGTGAGACTAATTTGATTCTATAATATGATCATTATGATGATTAACATTAATAAATTCAATGAAACCAGTGCTTGCTTCTTGGCTTCGGCTGAAGTACCCTCATGTTGCTTTGGGAGCTTTGGCCTCATCAGCTCCGATTCTTTACTTCAATAAAATCACACCAAGTGGAGCTTACGTTTCAGTCATCACCAAGGATTTTAGGGTATTCATTAAGATTAATGTTCACCTGAGTATTTCTTCGTCGTCGTCGTGTGACGAAATCTAATATACATACAGGAAGCTAGCGAGACCTGTTACCAAACTATACGAAGTTCATGGTCTATAATCGACAAAATCGCTTCCCGATCCAATGGACTTTCAACCCTCAGCTCGAAATTCAAAACTTGCAAGTACAAACATCGGACTTTCTGATATATTGCCATAAACCCTAAACTCAGAAACCGAAGCTTAGAATTAATTGATGTTTGTTGGCTGATTACTAGGACATTGCAAGATTCTTCAGAGCTGAAAAACGAGTTGGAGAACATGTATGCCGAAGCAGCGCAATATAACCACCCCCCAAGGTATCCGGTAAATATGATCTGTGGTGCAATCGATGGAACAAATGAAAAGAAAGATATTCTGGGTAAGATATTTGCCGGTGTTGCTGCTTATAGAGGGAATCGTTCATGCTACATTAATCAACCAACCAATGTATCCGAAGCAGATGTAGCTTGGAGTTGGCAGGTACATATATCTTTTTTAACCTAAGTTTTTCTAATGTTAGTCACGTTAATAATCTTAAACCCTAAACCGTAAAACATAATAATAATAATAATAATAATCATAATATGATTTTAGATATGCAGTGAAATGGTGATGCCCATAGGCATCGGCAAAAACACAATGTTCCAAGCAGATCCATTTGACCTAAACAGCTATACAAAAGAATGCATGAGATCATACGGCGTTCCTCCTCGTCCCCACTGGGTCACTTCTCACTACGGCGGCCATGTATTACCATCACTATTTTCTTCACAAGTTTTTTGTTCGTTATTTTATATAGATAAAAATATAAAATCCCAATTAATTGTTATTTTTTTTATATATATGCAAAATTTTGCAGGATATAAAACTGATTCTCCAGATATTCGGTAGCAACATCATCTTTTCGAATGGATTGCGTGACCCGTATAGTCGGGGCGGGTAATGATTAAATTAAAAGGCCAAATAACGGTTTGGGTACCTCTATTATGTTTAAAGTTGGGATTATGTCCCTATAGTATTGATTTGACATAATTTGGTTTGTCTATTTTTATAATGTCATTCTTTAATCTAAATTACTAACAACAACAACAAAACCCTATTTCCATATGTAATGGGATAAGAGGCTCCAGGTTGAGAATAGCTTTATTGAAAGACCTCCGGCAATTACTAACGTCATCTTTAAATGTTTATGTGGATTTTGTTCGGTAGGGTTTTGGAAAACATTTCAGACAGTATTCTTGCAGTACATACAGTAGAAGGTTAGTGAAAACTTATCAGTTTGATTTATTTTACCTAATTAATCTTGTATGGAAAAATAATGATAATTATATAAATAAAAATGAAGGCTCTCATTGCTTGGATATACTTAGAGAAAAGGAGAGTGATCCAGAGTGGTTAGTGAAGCAGAGGGAAATGGAGGTGAAGATTATCAAAGAAAGGATTGCCCACTACCATGCTGATCTTAAAGCCAGTCTAATCAAACAATAGGAATTAATTAATTAATTAGTTTCCTAGATTGAAGTTTAATCAATTTGCTTATATAATGGGTTGAGAACATCTTAAATTCACAAATTATTTGAACACACCACATCAATATCTGTGTTCATTTATTTTTGTTGATTCAGCTTCTAGCATCAAATTTATTAACAGATTTAATCCACAACAATTTTTTTAATCTTAAATAAAACTTTAAAGATAATATACTTTAAGGCTAACTACATGAAAAATCACTTACATTTATTTTTTGTCCACTTTTTGTCACTGATTTCAAAAAACATAAGATATAGTCACTTTCATTTTTATTTAATTAAGATGTAATCACCCCGAGTTAGCTGTCGTTAACGGCAATTAAATATTTTAATATAATCACACATTTAGTCTCTATTATATACATATTTTACAACTCAGAGTTAACTTAAAATTTTTTCAAGTAGAGTTGAATAAAACTTTTGAGTTTCTATTTAAATTTAATTATAAACATTTATAATATTAATGATATTATTTGATTTTAATTTAAATGATCTTTTATAAACATATACAATACATGTGATATACATTTATGATACAAACTTGAGACTCAAACTTGAAAATCAATCTACTTATTATTAAAATTTTCGAATTATTCGAGTTGTATTTTACAACTCAGTTTGAACTTTAATTTTTTCGAGTCGAGTCGGTTTATGAAAGTTAATCCTCCAACCGAAAGGTGACACGTGGCATTAAGGGTGAGCGAAATTTGACTCGACTCGAAGAACCAACTTTTTCAACTCGACTCTTGAAAACTTTACTTGAATTAACTTCGAGTTGTAATTTCATAAATCCGACTCGACTCGGAAAAAAAAATTTCAAGTTCAAACCGAATTGTAAAATACAACTAGAATAACTAAAAAAAATTAGTAATTAGTGGATTAATTTTTAAGTTTGAGTTGAGTCTCTCGACTTTGATCATAAATGTATATCACATATGAAGAAAAATTATGATAAAAGACACATGTATTGTATATGGTTATAAAAAATCATTTAATTTGAAATCAAATAATATCATAATATTTTAAATATTCATAATTAAATTTAAACAGAAAATCAAAAATTTGACTCGATTCAACTCGAAAAAATTATAAGTCATCCCCGAGTTGCAAAATAGGATTAAATTTATTTTTATTTGTTAAAAGTAGAACTAAATTGAGAGAATATATAAATAGCATCGATCAAATGTGTGATTATATCAAAATATTTAACTGTTGTTAACTACAATTAACTCGGGATGACTATATCTTAATTAAATAAAAACGAAAATGTTCATATATCTTATGTTTTTTTGAAATCAATGACCAAAAGTCGACAAAACGTAAACGTAAATGATTTTCCATGTAGTTAACATATACTTTAAAAAGAGAATTATCAAACGTTAAAATTAATTTCTTTTGTCATTATGCCCATATAATAGATGTAAATTTTGTTTAAAAATAACACTAAATCTAAAACAATACAAAAGACCGTAGGAGTCGATGAGATATATCAATAAGAAGAAAACAATGCATTTACCAATATAGTATTGACTACGCTTTATAAGATTAGATAAGAGCAAATGAGGTAGTAAATTGAAGATCTTTTGAATGTAAATGAAATTAATCGTGCTTACCGGTCTACTGCTGTCGTGGCGTATATTCCCGACGTCGCATGCTTTCATTGCGTATTTTCTCGCCGATCTGCCGCAACCGGTTGAACGACGACTCTGATTGTGGCCGATTGCTTCTTCAATGTAATTGATCTGTTTCTTAATTAAAGAAAATTAGAGTAGGCCAATGACAAGGGTTGAAAACCATTTTGAACACACCACAGATAATAATTCAAAAGATCATTTTCATTAACCATTTGACATGTGTAATTCAAAAGATTTGTTCTACGTACACGCCACGGATGAGCAAAATGACTCCAAAACCATCCCATCTTTTTAAAGGCCTGCACATCATAACATGTACTTGTATAACTAAACCAACCACCATCCACCAAGAGTGTTTGTGATTCCAAGCTAACCCATCCTGTAGAAAACCCCAAACAAAATAAAAACAAAACACAGCCTACTCAGCAGTAGAACATCACTTCCTTCACATTGTCCTTGATGCTGGGCAGGGGACGAACATCCGCACTCTGGTCCTTTGGCTTTCGGCTTCCACCAGTGGACCCGCTGTCCGACATCTCTTCCTCTACATAATATCGTGCCCTAAAAGCAGCTAGATGGGCATAATAAGCTGGAGGCACTGCAAATGTAATAAAAATATCAACCAACTTGGAAATAAACTTGCAAGCTAAAAAAAAGATTTTAAGAGCAAAAAATATCACTAACCTATGGAAACCGATTTCGTACACCTCGCATACCTAGACAAGAGTGAAATAATTATGTGGTTAGGACTAATCTGAGCAATATTTATTCACACTACTAAAAGATTGCAGAGAGTAACAAATACATACGTATAACACAAATTGTTGGTGAGAATTTGCATAAGGTCTGCAGTGAACCCATTTTCATCATACAAGACATGATAATGGGTGGGTTTACTGGTTCCCTATACAAGAAAAATAACGAATACATTTAGTAGCAGACAGTAGAAGGATTAGGTGTAAGAAAGATAATTGTAGCAGAAGGCAAGCCTCAGTTTACCTGAATACCGGCGTGACTATTAAGATAAAAATCAAACTCAGTGGGATGACAAATGTGGGTATCCACAACTGTACCTGCAAGACACTGAGTACGGTAAAATATACTTGTTATCCGGTAAGAAGTTAATTGATTATGCTGGCGCCCAATTATGAGATACTCGATACCTGGCAAGACATTGCCACTCCTATCAGATTTGTTGCGTTCAGTAGGGAATAAGCGCGTATGATGCCTCTTCTGCACCACAACAAATGTAACTCGTGGCATATATCCTTCCTGGAGTGAGGAACAAGCCTGGAGGAAGGATTGAAATTAACGGTGTCAGAAGGACTAAACACCAAAAAGCATTGCATAAACATGCTAAGTATATTAATAAGCTGATGTTAATGTCCACGTCTATATAGAATTTATTCAAAACACAGTTTCTTTGCCCAAGATATAGCAGGGTGCTAACATCACAAAAGATAACCCTTTGAATACCTTCCGGATATTATCCATTTCATCGAATAAAACTTGACTGAACTGGCCTTCACTCACACCATCTCTGTCAGATTAAGTAACAGTTATCAGCAACAAAGCTAGAAAAGTAGGAATTTGATGGCCAGAAACAAAGTTCACCTGTAGAAAATAATCCTTGCAGGTATTAAATTGGTTGACCTCCTGAAAGCAATGAGCAATTCCCTGAAGTGAACAAGAAATGATCAATAAATGAAGTAGAACACAATTAACTAAGACGGGAGCCTGAAATAAAACTATATCTACATCCCTACCTTATCATACCACCATGAACTAAACCCTTTTGAGGATCCTGAGTTGTTTTATAGAGGTCCTGGATTATTTCCTGCCGATGTGTCTGTGCAGAGACAATTCCACGGTACTTTGTTATTTCAGGCCAATCCATGGAAGCAACTACCTGCAGCCACGCCAAAAACCTCTTAACACGATGAACAGAAAAGATATGACAAAGAAAAAGGAATATGCATACCGCAGCAATAGAAGAACTCGAATCCTCTCCAGGCTGAGGATGAGTGACATCAGCACCAAATATAATTGTAGGCATATCGCTCACAAGCGGAATTCTCTTTTGAATTGCATCATTCAGCACCGTATTTCTACCCCCAACCTAATTAGTTAACAATTATAAAAAATAATTAAAAACGAGAAAAAGAGCCAGCACAAACATAAAACCACCACTGAGGCAGAGAAAAGCACCTTGACATTAATCTTGAGAGAAAGGTTTTCAAAATATTGTTTGCTAAACTTTGAAGCTATATCAGGCTTACAACATTGTGAAACAATACCTAGCTCAGTCTCACAAATTCGCTTGATTTTTCCTGGCAAGTAAAGAGTTTTATTGCACACAGAAAAACCAATATTACCCATTTACATTATATCAGAATCTCTTACCATAGGAGCCAGTTTGATCAGGTAGGATTACTATCAACAACTGAAGTGGCGTATTCTTGCCAGCAGACTCTCGGTGAATATCCAAGAGAGTTTGTTCAATTCTATCAGAACGAGCTGAACGGATTGGGATTGATGCGGTCTCACGAAACATCTAATGTAAAAAATGGAAAATGAAGCCAGTCAATAGTAGATTAAAAATAAGATATGTGCACTTACAAAACTACACACCATACCATTCCTTTGCTGTTACACATGTTCACAAGCTCATAACAAAAGTCGTTTGACATATTCATAAATTTTGAGGAGAAGTTCACACAAGTCCAGAAATCCAGTCTCCCACCATTGACCATTTTCTGCAAGAATAATGTGCTTAAAACCTAGAAAAGGAACTTCTACACACAAGAGAATTACCAATATAAAACAATCAAAGATTTTAGCAAACATAAACTGCAAGCAAATGATACTGGAGAGTGGAAACCGATAAAAACTCTTAAAATGAATTGGACGGGTGATGCACATTAAACCCTGGAACAAGAACAGGAGGCCAAAAAACAGTTCTGATTGTTGTTTTCAAAATCACTTCATAGACAAGATGTAAAAAAATATATATCACCTTATTGATCATGTTCCATGACCCCAAGCCAGGACTAACACTTCGTTCTTTTCCACTATCATGGTACTTAAGCTGCAGCAACCAGGACAAACAGATATTAGTTTATAATATGAAAGTAAGTTTGACTTCCTTTGAAGATACAACATATTGACATGTTAGTACCATTGGGGGAGGTAAAACTCTTGCATTAATCAAAGCAAGTTCTTTCTGAACATGAATTCCAAATTCTTTACCAACAAGCTCATCTGCCTCAAAATTATTAACTTCGACCATCTGCAGAAACATAATAAATGAATCACAATTGTTACCTAATCAACAAAATAAATGCTGCTAAAATTATCCAACATTATCATACCTTTCTAACATTTTCCTCCCTAATATTTGGACGTTGACAAGTTGCTCTCAACAATTGACGAACTTGTTGTTCATTCAACTTTTTTATGTATCTTTGTCCCTCAGCAATCCTACAAAGCTGAATAACAAAATCATTAGAAGTACCGAGTTAAAAGCAAAGAAGAAAAGAAATAAAAATCAAGTCAGTATGAAGCAAGAACCTCCATCGGCAAGTAGACAGGTCTAGCTTCACACCCAGTTTGAATGGCAGGCAAGTATGTATGTTCAAGCACAATATTGTATTTCTCACGGAAATACTGGGGAACAGAAACTTTAGTACTTTTCTCATCAAGAGAAAACCTAAAAAGCCAAAAACAATTGACAAAAGAGATACAATGAGAGAGAATGAAACAAATACCGGACAGAAGCATAAAATGCTAGGGAATACAAATGTAGTACAATTATTATGCTTATATCAGCTATTTGACTTAAAATTTAGTACTTCACTTTCATAAAACAGTTTCAAAAAATTATAGCTTAAGGTAATTGAACAACAAAGGTGGTAGCCATTGACTAACAAATATACTAGTACAACTATTTGAATGTAAATATTTAGTACCCCACTGTAACAACACAGTATTAAACAAATGTTATCTTAAGATTATTGCAAAACAAAGGTGGTAGCTATTGACTAACTTCCACACTACGAAACATTTCTGAAGTCATTATGACCAAAGAAAATAATGCCAACTGCAAATAAATAAAACCAACTCAGTTTAAACATGGCAAATACAAGACTACCACAAGTACCACAAAATCAAGTCAACCATACTCATTTGAACAGGTAACAAAGATGGGAGAGAATATAAAGATCTTCACAAGTAACACAAAATCGATTCAACCATATTTATCCCATTAATGTAGCTTCCTATAGTGTTGTAACAAACTTACATCAGCTGACTAATAGGCTCCCTAGATATGCCAACAATCTTTGAAGTTTTGGGATACTTCATGTAAGTTAGTTGAACTTTCACTCCTTTTAAGGCCTTTCTCACCTAAATAATAAGACAATAGTAACATTGTAAGAAATTTCATCCACTTTGATCTATAGACACTGAATTGAATATTCGTCTAGTTGCAGAAAATAGAAAATATTAGTGTTAAGATGAAATAATACTTTAATACGATCTTGATCAGACAAAGGCCTTTTCAAATTTTGAGGACGATTGAAATGTTTCATAACAAAATCTGAAACCAAAAGTGGCTCATAGAAGGACCGGGCAGACACATCTGCAAAGTGAAAATAGGCATAGAAAGAAAAAGCAGTAAAACTACAACATTAAGTAAAAAACAGCCACAAAATTAACAATCAATAGAATAGTTACCAATATTAAGTGATAAACCCATCTGTGTAGGTCGAAGACTCTGATAATATCCTGTCCAGTAGTCAATTCCATTACCAAGCCCCCCTTTTGCACCTAATGACGGATGGAAAAATGACCTTCCAACTACATTATATCTGCAAAACAATGTATCAAACTTATTAATTTGATATAGTATAAAATGATTTAAGATAAATGATGGACCATAGTGAAAAGGCAAATACTTCTCCGATGGGGCAGCCCTAAGAACAACATCAAGTACTTGAATAGTTTCTTGAGGGCACTCAAAATGCCTTCTGCTCAAAAACTCCTTAAGGAAATGTATGTCGGGCTTGGATGCAAGTTTGATTGCTACCTTAAATTGTCGTTCCCTCCTGCAATAACAAACAACCAGAAAGATCAAAGTAAAATAATAATATCCAATAAAATGCAAAATGTCAATACTCAACACACCATAATAAAATTCAAGAATATTACCTCGCTCTAGCAGATGAACTCTGGCCACGATCTGTATCGAGTAATTTAACTACAAACTCCTTGGACTCAAACGGGAGAACCCCAGCAGTGTACAAGCTCTTCCTGCCATCATATGCTACACGCCGATTTCCAAGGTGGGAAGCCCTGTATGTCGTAGAAAGCTCCTTCAGAATGTCTCTGTTTACCTTTTTCGAAGTTACCTCCGGTGTTATAGTAACCTGCAAGTAATGAAGAAGATATGAAAAGCTGTTAAAAGAGAGCAGATGAAAATGCAACTGAACAGAGATGGATAACGAGGTAAATATGCAAAAAGAAGCTAATATATCAATAATGAACTAAAAGTAGAGGAATTCATTAAAGCAAGTTCGTGTACGGAGAAACAATCCATTATTAAAACGGTTAGATCATGGAAAAATGACGAGAAAAATTAGCCGATAAAATATTAAAGGAGAAATGAAATATCATGCGTCTTTAGAAGATACAAGAAAAAATGCAAGAAAACAGAGACGGGCAATGAGGTAAATGAAAATTAGCACAGGGAAAAAAATATTGAAATTAAAATATATGAACCAAACAAAAAAGTAAAATTCATCTAAAGCAAACCATTAATAGTTAAAATTTCCCTTTGGGTTTTTATTGAAAAAACAAGTATTAGCTAAATCCTTCAGTGTAGAAATGATTAAAGCGCTTAAAAATCAAATAGAGGGAGAAAGGGAGAGAAAGTACATCGTAGTGATGAAGATCACTGCAAGCAACATCTACTAGAAAATGATTCGCTCTAACCGTGCATTTTGTACCGACGGTACCAAAACCCGGCCGTCTCGGGAAACTAATCGCCTTTGTCGACGAAGGAGGAAGAGAAGACGCCGTAGTTGCAGCCACAGGACTCAATGCAAGTTTCTGAGACACCTCTTTGCCCAGTGATTCCGCACTAGACGAAGGCTGATGAGCAGGAGCCAACTGAGGAGGGGTTCGACGAACTAGAGCCGCCTGAGGAGGGGTTTGACGAGCCGGAGCCGCCTGAGGAGGCGGTTGACGAGCCGGAGCCGCCTGAGGATGTGGTTGGCGAACCGGAGCCGCCTGAGGAGGAGGCGGGGTATAAGAGGCAGTAGGACCAGATGATCCACGTCCCCTTCCTCTACCGCCGCCGCCGCGAGGTAAAGGCTGAGAAGGTTGACCGTGACCCGGATCATGTCCACGGCCACGGCCTCTTCCACCACGGCTTCCTCCACCGCCACGACCGGACATTGCAATAAAACAACAATAGAACGAAGATTCAAAAGGCGAAATTCAAAAAGTGAAAAGAGATTCACGATATGGGGGAGAGGATGAGAACTGCGAAGAGTGAGCCAATTTATAAGGTGATTCGTTCCGGGTTCGGGTCATTTTAACAAATTCCTTAGAAAACAAATCCCAACTGACCCGTTTTCTGTATGGAAGAAGAAAAAAACGGATTTGTTCCCATTTCCATTGTGACTTTATTTTCTAAATTTTAAATTTTTATTTTTTTTTATGTATTTTTATATCAATAGAAGTCGATAATTTTTATTTTAAAAATAAGAGATATTCAAAATTGTAATGAAATCTTACAATTATAAACGTAGACTAAATATATAATCAATAATATATTTTAATAACTAATTATACAAAACTGATCATTTGAGATACCAAACAAAAAAAATACTAAAAACTCATAAAAAATTAGAATAAAAAATAAATATAATTGTATCAAACTACATAAACAAACAAATTATAACAGTCAATCAAACTATAAAAATACTCCAATTCTGTTCATGTTACAAAATTAATTATAAGTTTTGTTTTTTCTGTAATGCATTTAAAAATAAACATATATAATTTTCTTTTAAAAAATACATATAATAATCTCATGAATTTCTTAAAATATATTATATATTATATATTTAATTAACAAAAAAAATCGGTGATCAAACCAATAATATATATGTATAAGAAAATATTTATTCAAAAAAAAGTAATTCTTTAACAATAAATGTTGTTAATATTTACATTTAAAATATCTATAGATAACAATTATATCCTTAATTATTCAGATAATGTCATTTTATATTTTTAAAAATTCTTATCAACAAAAATAAATAGTATATTAGATCCATTCATTTGTAACGTTAAGTTAGAGATACCTTGAACCCAACCTTATTTTTTCACTAGTTGAGAGGTGGAGGCCAGAGACACACATATTTCATCTTTTGTGTAGAGAGTGTGCTATTACGTTGGATGATGTTTCTATACATTTGGCGGGGATGTGATTTTTAGGGTGGCGGATGATGACTGGCATTCCTGAGCGAGGAGTATCTTTGAGGTTTTCCGCCTAATTTCAACGGTGGTCGAATACCGTTAAATTGGTTGGTTACAACTTTAAACATTTGAGTCGCGACACCTCCGAGGAACAGGTTAAAATATATGCACGGATTTGCATATTACAACTCATAGGAATCGTGCATCCAAGTTTATTGTATGTAGTTGTGTCACATTGCAGATTTTCACGTTGTCGGTGCACTCAGATAGGGCTCCGCAGTTTTGGCATTTCTGTATAAGGAAATGTGTCGAGCAACTGATTATTGAAAAAATGTTATCGGCGGATGTCTCAGACATGGTATCACATGCCCTTTTTATGTTCGGTTATGAAAAACTCGTTGGTCTTCCCGCTATTGTTGAGGTAATTTCAATAATGAATTTGTATATAAATAATTTTGTTGATTATATAATGATTTTTTTCATTGAATATGTGGTCAAGTGCAAAAAAAGATCATCGAGAATTACCAGATGAATTTGAAGAAATTTGGGTACTCATTGATCAGAAGGCTAGTATAGAGGCATGTATTTAAATTTTATTATTTACTTTTAATTATCGTTATATAATTAGAATATTATTTTGATAAGAATTATATATATTTATTTTAGTTTCAATGGGCTCCTTATTCAACTGAAGAAATGAATATTTGTATCACATATCACTTAAGAGACCCATTAGATGTCTGGATGGTAGTGACCCCTCTGATATGTTATGCTATTATTGAGTGGCATCCTACTGATTGCGTTCTCCGTCAATTTGATTTTGTACAATCTATTCCGGAAGCACATAAGAATCTCAACGATATATATATCATCGATAGATGGGGCAAAAATAAAGTCGGTTGGCTACTGAAGCACATCTAGTGTGTAATGATATGGGATGATCAATGTGGACGCATTCCTTGTACGGAAGCCATTTATTTTGATCATTATTCGGTTGCGGATGATTATTATGAGTGATTCAACACAAATGGGAAACCGTTCTTACTTTCCAAGGAAACACGAGGTGGGAGCATTCATCGACGCCGATAAAGACGTCAATCGTCACAATATCATTGTCCCCTGACTCGTGGACAGATAGCAGGTGCTTCCGACTCTTCCTCAGCTGCAGTACCGAAATCATTACAACATCCACTATCTACATCGGTGTACATTCCATAGTCGTTTTAGATGGCACCACAACCGTATCAGATGGCATCGTAGTCATTTCATATACCACCATAGTCGGATCAAATGCCATCGCAACTAGTTCAGATGCCACCGCCGTAGGTTTTTATAACCCCTATTGTTGGATATTATATTTCTTTACTTGTAGATCTAATGTGGGATTCATATGCTGGTTATTTGGCGAGTAAAGGTTCACCACATACATATATATAGGGGTGTAAACGAGCCGAGTCGAGTATTGCTGAGCTCGACTCGACTCGAAAACTCTGAAATGGAGCTCGACTCGACTCGAAAACTCGCGAGCTTAAAATTTTTAAGCTCGACTCGAACTCGAAATCCTGAACTGAAGCTCGTGAGCAGCTCGAAAAGGCTCGAAATGAAAAAAAAAATCTTAAACTTAACAAGATTGAATCCTCAAATTCAAACTCGAACCTGAACCTTAAATACATGAAAGCCTTATTGTATTTTTTTAAAAAAATCAACACATAAATGTTAATATTATTAATAATTTATTTTTTTTAAATCTTAATATATTATATTTTCGAGTTACTCACGAGCTTTTCGAGTCGAGTATCAAGTAGCTCGTTTCGGCTCGTTAAGAATTCGAGTCGAGATCGAGTTCGAGTCGAGTCCATTCGATCCGAGTATTTATCGAGCCTTGACCGAGTCGATCTCGAGTAGCTCGCGATCTGTCTCGTCTCATTTACAGCCCTACATGTACACCTCCGATGCATTTTTTGCACTCATCGATGTCGGTGTTTTCACATTTTTTTTTAGCGGTGGGATAGTCAGTCATACACCTCTAGGGTCCTTATTCTATGGAAGTGTTATATCGTCATCTGTCTTCATCAACAAAATGTAGTTGCTCTTAATGATGATGATGATAAGAGTGAGGAGGAATAACGGGTTATACGAAGAAATCCTCATCAACATAGATAGCCACCGCCCTGCGGAACACATTCAAGAGCATACATCGATAGAGTTGTTTAGTTCGTAATTTTTTATTTAATTTTGTTTGTTTACCAGCAATTGTAAAGTTTTTATTTAATTATGGATTTTTTTTTATTTATTTTGTTTGTTAATATTTTTATTATTTAATTGTTCAAATTGTATTGTCTGCATTTAATGTTTCTATTTAGTTGTTTTTATTGTTTGAATTATATCGTTTTCTTGTATTTAGTTTGTAATATTTTTATTTAATCTTCACTTGAGTAGCCCATTACTATGTGATGCTCAAATGACATTAATTAAAAGTAAATGAAAATTAAATAACACAAACTTATATTTCATAAACAACAATTACATCATCACAGCATCAACAGTTACTTAATGACAAAAGAGATGGACATTTTTTCCTGGCCTAGGTTTCTACAATGCCTATATCTTTTATTTTCTATAGACGTCTCCCGAATATCTATATCACAATGAATTCGAGTGGATTTTGGACGAATTGGCTCTCTTAATTAGAACTGATCTGGTACAATAAGAAGCCAATTCTAAACCTCATCAGAGTCTTGGGAACTCAAATTCATATACCTTTAATACTTCTGAATTTCTCTATCATAGTAAATAATAGCTGAAATATGCGTTATTTTGAGAGTTTGAAAGATTGAGAGTCATATCTGCAAAAAACAATAGCTGAAATACGCCTAATTAAATAAATAATATGTGAATCAAAATATAAAATAATCCAAAAAATTAAAAAAATTCACAATAATTTAAATAAGGCAATTTCATATTGTTATCATATCGATAAAAATGTCTCGAGGTATGATTCAACTTTCTAATTTTACAACCGTAAAAAATAATACAAAATAATTAGTACAATAAAATTTGTTCAAATAATTAAATATAAAATAAATATAATATAATATAATATAATAAAAAATAGTTTTACCTTATAAAAACAATAACAAAATCTACTTAACTTGATAGAATGAATTTATAGAAGTGAGAATAAGCAAGTAATTTTGGTGTGGGGATGTTTGTATTAAGAGGGTTTGTTATTTATAGAAGAGGGGGAGCGTTTAAAAGTTGAGTTTTCAAGTTCGGATAATAATGGAGTACTAATAATTCAATATGCATGATCCGCACCTTCCGTACGTGTCTGAGGTTTGGCGAATGCGCGGATCACCATCTGCACCTTTCCTTACGTGACGCTAACTCGAACAAAACCTTACAAAAATACTATTGACGATCTGCAATTTATTATCACTGTGTCAAAAAGGATTCTAAATCAATAATATTATAGAAAAAGATATCTAACATGTAATTATTGGATTTATATTTAGATAAAAACGGTACCCAATATACCTGTCATCCATTCATCAGACGCAACCCACAAAACGACAATAATAAAATAAAAAAGGAATGTAGTATTTTCTCCGGTAACCAGTAAGCGGCGGTAATGATGCAATGATTTCTCTGTAGTTGTTACTTGGTAGAGAGCTCCACCGCTGGTACTTTTTTTATTTTATATATATTAATATAAAAATTATTCTATAAGCGATCTACTCAAATTAAATTTATATAATTTTTTTTATTTTAATAACGTTTGTTTTGTTTAAATTTTAAATTTTCACTCAAACATATAAATTAGTGTAAAATTTTACACAAATTTATATTAAATAATTACTCTTAGTACTGATTTTATCTTTTTTTCTAATTAATGTGGGAACCACTCACGTACCCGTAATCTGTTGTTGACGATTGATTATATAAAAGGATAAAAGTGGGAATTTAAATAAAAATAAAAATTCAGATCCTCCGAAGGTCCGGAATGTCGGGCGATTCTTACCAAGGAAGTTGCT